ACAAGAGTTTATTCTGCTTTTGTTTGGTATTCAATTAACACGCTACTATAACTTCTGTAGACTTTCTTGCACAAAATAGTGTTATATTCCACCCATTTCTTCCCATAACGGTTATTTCTCACAGTAACCAAGAGGTTCCTCTACAGTTGCTGGTCACTATCACTTAACGAGTAAAAAAAGTAACAAAAGTAACAAAATAAACCCTAAGGAATTTAATTGACCAGAACGCGACGGTTCCCTTGTAAAAACGACCATTCATTTAGACGAAAGACTCCTTCATTAAGTCCTCTCGATTGCTCGAAAAAAACATGCAATGTTGTTGAGCTTAAAGACTTTACTAAAGTCAATGGAAGTTTATTACCTTGTTATTAAGGTCAATAAAACCCATATGACAGCCAAGCCAAACAGTGCAGCAAATGTTATCCACAGGGCTGAAATCAAATGCATAAAACAGGTACAATTCAGTAAGCTTTTAAAAGACACATACCATTGATTACTAACAGATCAAGTGGCCTAACTCACGCATGTAAGAGTTTTCTGGCTTTTTGAGAACCCTTAGATCACACGTCACATTTGCTGATGATTGGCTCGCAGACTCTTCCACCATATACTCATACCAGCCTCTTTCGCCAAAAAGGTGCTCCAGCCTGCAAATCACCATGTCATTGGTTAATTACTAAGCATTCAAAGAGACGTATCGTTGATTACAGTCAAAATACGCGTACGTCACACATTGGTTTCATCGTGATTTAATGAACGGCGCAATGAACGCTGAACGCTGTTTTTCAATAGATCGTCCAACGCTTCTGATTATGCTAATTTATGGGATACAAGCCTCAAAATTTCACAGATTGAAGGAGGGTGAAAAAAAAAATGTTAACAGAGCGATTTTATGATAATTTGAATAACGGAGAAAATATCATATGTAGCAATGAAAACAGTCACAGCAATTTTTCATACAAACCCTAATGATTTTGCAGACATTTCAACACCGTCCAATAATAATTAGTATCCTAGTCTTTCCTTTCAGTCACCTCTGAATTAGCTTCTCAGCTTATTTTCTAATGCTCCCTCTATCCCTGGCATTTTTTAAAGGTGTATCCCTTATATAGCAGGTCAAGTGATTGCAAGCTGCAAAGGGCCTGATGATAGCTGTAGTTATCTGACGTCATCGAGAAAATGGCCCAAATGGCGCGTGAACTGCTCGAGTGTATGTGGAGAACAGTCAACAAATGTTGTATTGGAAAAACTCAACCAAACCTTGAAACAGTGCCGTAGAGTACAAGTTATAACGTACCTGCAAAGACTCTCTGATCCATTTTGATTTTTAATTTCGAGTATAAAACTGTAATGAGTTTTAATGATTATGAAATCGCTGTCAAAAAGTGAAGTTTTAAGTTTTTGCAAGGGGCACTGCAAAACGAAAAAAAAGCAAACTAAGTGAAATCTTGAAGTGTAACAAAGACATAACTATAAAAGACTAAGTTAAGTTCAGTTCAGTTCAGTTTATTGTTCTGCCAGTTCAGTTCACTTCAGTTTATTTTCCCTCTTTGCCATAGGGATGTACAAAAAACACGACAATCTAGATAATTAAAAAGCTAATGGCGAGGAAGCCCAAGGGAAGCCACGGGGCTTGTAAGGAATGAGCTCTGCCAGTTAAATTATTGCAACAAAATATTAACAGAATTATACATGCAAAAATCAATGGCAGAGCTACAGACAAAGAACAATTTGAGTACTGAATGATGCAATAACACAATGGGTTTTGCTTGGGTCTCTATAACCATTGGGTGAGGTAATTTTCCCACTATGAATGTACCTTACGTTTCCCACTTACTCCACTCTGCTAAAAGTGGAAAGGATCTGGGAAGGTGAGTTGCATTTTTGCTGTTCTTTCTAATTGTTTTTGAAGGGTAGTTCGGCTACCTTTACTATACAAGACGTGCTAAATTTGCCGCCAATTTCTTCTCTACCAAAAGAACTGCGCAAACTTTCCGTCTTCCCCAGTGTTTCTGGGTTACCATTTCTTTTTCTGGTGATACCCTGTATAATTGACTTCATTCAACTGGGTCACGTCGTCCCTATTAGGTCAACGCTAGCTGGTTAGCCGAGGTATTTGAGCCAATCAGATCGGAGAAATATTTTTAATGAACAATAATATCGGTATAGGAGGATACAGAGTGTAAGCTTGCCATTAGCTATACAGATCTACAACTGACATATATAAAATACCTTGTAACAGTTAGAGTCAATACCCCAAACTGTTAAAGGCTGATGTATAGTGGAAGTGATGTTCAGAAGAGCTGTGTCCATTTTTAACTTTCCAGAAAACTTCTCTTTCTGCGGACATGACGGTGATTGATTACAAACCAAACCTGCGATTAAGGAACCAAACACATTGTTAGTTACTCAACAGCTAGCCGGGAATTTAAGCTGGTTAAGGTTGTACCATTAGATCAAAGAATGCGGGGAGAAACCATCCCGGATATTTGGTGAAACCCCGTTTTTTTTGTTTTTATTTATTTATATATTTTTTTGTTAACCTGTTGTACCTTGGGATACCTTTTAAACTGCGTAAAATTTGAAACAAAAAATTGACACAAATCATGCCTTTTATTTGAACTGGTTTATCCCTGCTTTTATTACGCTTTAGAGTATTGTTTTAGTCCCGCATGGATGTATTGTCCTATTTGTTCCCGGTCCATTAAAATTCCTGTCCAATCACAGGATTCTTTGTTAAGCTTATCTACAATAAGCTCTGATGGACAGGTGAACAATCATGGTATTGTTGTTTGTTAGAATTACAGTAGTTGCTTTCGTTCTTTCATTTTTAAGTGGTCAAAGAAACTGTCAGGAATTGATGGCAAAGTTACAAACTTTAGACTTTCCAAACCTTACAAAACTGACGGCGAACTATTGTAGGTGATCCGATCCTTCGTCACAAAAAAGTGTAGCGGAGACAAATGAATAAAGAATGTCTAAGTTATTAGGTTCTTTGAATAGAATTAGAAATTACGGGACTTCGTTATCAGGAATGATGTTTTGATGATCTATTAAACACTGCTCAAATTCGCTTTTGAAGTTGATATATTCTTTTGATATATTTTTTCATCTGATTGTCAGCCATTGCGATGATGTGTAAATGTGCATGCATGTGTTCTTGTTAACTGATCAAGTTTCAGTAATCGTGCAAGAGAATGGGTGGAAGCTCAGTTGTACTTTATCTCTTTTATAACTGGCGCTTTAAGTACCCATTTATCATTAACACTGTAAGACTGAAAAAATCGCAACACACTTACCAAACAAACAAAGACAAACTGCGACAGATAGAAAGATCATTTGAATTAAGGCCATGGTTTCAAGCTGGTGAACACAGCAGATGGATTAAACAAGATCAGAATACGACGCTGTCTCACTGAACTTTGGGGTTGACCTCTGTCAAACTAAAAAAAATAAATCAGACAGCGCATTAGCATATTAAATAGTTAGTTATCATAGTACAGTAATGTAGTAATACAGTGCACTGATGCAGTCACGTTGGCATGGCGCTAAACAAAAATTTTCAGAGATGTCTCTTCCTTCATTTTCTTTTGATTTTCTTTCAGTGGGCGGGGAACAAGCTGATAGTTAGGGTAAAAGTGAGGCGAGATAACACGATTCTACATTTAGCCGGGGAAAACTGGGGATAATATTATTGTTTAGTATTCCTTTGGGTTTTTTTGTTTGATTTGTTGTTTTCAATAAACAAATAGTTGCCACTCCTACAGGAAATTTTTATGTTAGAATTATGTAAACTGTCTTTCCCTCGCTTTGGGGCTAAGCTGTGGAATGAGATACCCTGCAAGTCACATCCGACTTCCAGTCCCCTAGAATAAGTTTAAAAAAACACTCCGCAAATTACTTTTTTTAAATCTGAATTCCGAAGATGACTATATTGATACGCCCACCTTAAAACGGTAAAATTAGCCAAAAATGTCGAAAAATAAATCCTTGCTTATTAGTTTCTACTTTTACAATTTATTTGTTATGTAGTCCTCATCCATATTGCGATTTTTATTTCATTTATTTGTAAACTGTAATTAAACTTTCCGTGGTTTAAAATTCTAGTTTTCCGACGCGCATCCCCGTCATATTGATATGGGAGTCTTACCCCTACCTCACCCCATCCTTTCCCCACATTGGATGAACAGAACGTAAAATAAACAAATCAGACACAAGGTTAGTCATTTTTGTTTCGAAGTTTTTCAAAAGGCAAAAATTAAGACTTATTTTTTCTTTTTATTTCCAAACAATCTCTAAGTGTCGAGGCTGAGCTTTCTTTTCTACAGTTCATGCGCGCATGCATGCAACATACCGCACGTGCTTTCTAAAACCAAGAAGAATGCTAAGCCAAATCTCTTCCAATTCTGAGAAAATTTGATCAGTGATGGCACGTTTGCTACTTCGACTGAACAAGACTGCGAACCTGTTTTTTTTTTTCTTTCTTTCTTTCTTTTTCCAGTTTTCTTTTGGTTCAGAGGTAAGGAAAATCTGATAAATTCAGTTGTATATTGCAAAAAAAAAAGACATTCGAATATGTCGATGTTTTTACGGAAAAAGGTACCAGTCTTGAACACCCTTTCCCGTTAATTTTCAGCTTACATGTGTAGCAAGGCTCGCACAAGGTGTTCAGCAAGCTGGCCATAAGAGACCGGCTTTCCACAAATGGAGATAAACATGTAAATTATTGAAGTAAAGTATTCTATCATTCTATAAATGTACATGTTGTGCGTGATGTATTAGTCCGGCAGATTGGCTAGTTAGTTTGATGAAACAAACTCGAAACGTGATACCCACGAGCAGTCGCGAGAGGCGCGGAGAACTCTTTCGCTTACTTCTTGGCTCGATCCAAGTAGCTCTTGGGTCTTTAAAATAAAAGAAGAAAATTGAAGAATTTAATGGGAATATCTTATTTCCCTAACCTGGTCAAAATACTTGTTCATCTGCTGTTTTGTCATCAGAAATGAAATCCAGGGAGCTGCAGCGAGCATACCGGTATGAAATTTAAAGAGGTCACAAGGCAAACTGCTGTTGCTGGAATAAAGTCTAAAAAACAAAAAAAATCTAAAGGCCGTATCTTTTCGTCAAAAGGATGCCTGAAATGTGTACAATTCCACAATTGGTTTTGACTCCATTAAATCCTATATCAATCAGGTGAGCACACTTACTGACAAGGTATATGAATAGGAAAATAACCAAAGAAATCTAATGCATTAAATAACGAACGAAGTACACACGTCAATTAAGTAATAAAATAGAAAGTGCTCGCATATTTAAAGGTTGTTTGTCCGCCTGTTCCTGTCGCCTGCGGCAGCTGAAAGTCCAGTCCGCTATTCTGGTAATTATTTCATCTGCTTTCTTTTTATTCCTGTACCAGTCCTTTTCGGCGAAACTTGTCCGCCTTTCATGGAAGTTCGTGCAGACGACAACAGAGTGTTTATGGCGTTTTCGCTTTTATTTGCTATTTTGGCTGTGCTTTCAACACAGAGATTGGGTAAGGTACAATTACTTGCAGTTGTTTTTGCTATTATTCTCCTCGCAGGTGTTTGGCTCGAAACAGTCTATCTTTAATTCAGTTTTTACTACGAACATTCATATGCTTCCGGTTAAAGTTGCTTAAGCGAATTTACATGCCCTTATCATAGCGATAAGCAAAGGATGGGAACCTTTTTATCATAGTCATTCTTTGTGTTTCTTTCTTCTCCCTTGTTGATGAATCAATATCTGTCGAGTATGTATTCAGTAAATAATCATGTGAACCTGAGGAGCAGTGAGTGACCTTTGTCACATATGTATGTATTAAAAAGTTGCACAACTGATACATTTGCAGATGCAAAATACAATGCAAGTTAAGTGAAGCAACGAGTACATTTAAAAAGGGATGAAAGGTCATCGAAATACATAGACTGTTCACAGTCCTCTATTTTTCCGTAAGATCATCGAGTTCTGGAGCTTTGTGTTACGGGCTACCCATCTTGCATGAGTGTCTGTGTTTTGCTAGACAATTCATAATCTGAGTGTCAAACAAGGATAAAACTAGGAATTGACGAACTTGATATTAAAAGTGCTTGGAAAAAAATACAGGAAGGATTTTCTTCAGCTGAATAATTCAAAAATTGCTTTAAGATAATGAGTTCAATCGAGTGGGATGAAAACTGCATAAAGGCTTTGTAAAAAGAACTAATTATACAGACCAATTTTAAGGTTTTGAATTGAATTCGAATTAAAGAAGGCGATGTGAGTAACAAGTTATGAACAAAGAAATGAAAACGGCAATAACCGACTGCTGGAAAAGTGATTCGTGTCGTTTATTTGAGATCGAAAGTTAAATGCAATAATTGACAACAACCTTTCCTGATAAGTAGAAAACTAGCAAGGCAAACTTCAATGAAAAACAGCAAAATCTAGATTCATACACCAAAAATGGAAAACAAAACTACAAACAGAGCGAAAATGTCCAATTGCAGTACTTACAGCGCGGTTATAAAGCTAGTGAAAAGCGACATCACGAGCCGCCTGTTTTGCTTTACTTTAGCGGTTTTCCTGGCTGGCTTGCTTAATACACTTCAGATTTTTTGTCCGAATAATAAAATTCACCTTTCCTTGGCTGATGCTAATAATAGCACAAGTTTTAAGAGAAAAATGGTTTGAAAAGGATGGTTTTTGCTCATTCACAAACAACAAACAAACTTGTGAATGAAGCAGTCAATGATTCTGGCCGGGTTAGTGGGCAAGATCGTAAAATACCACCCACTCTCAGAACGAATCAGATTGCAAGATTTGGAGGATTCCGCCCGCTCGCAAGCGTGGAAAAAATAAAAGTAATTATTTTAGTTCAAATTCATTTAGAATTAGTTGCGTCATTTTATAATACAGTCAATTTTTTGAAGCCTTGATTGAGTAATCAAGAGTAAACAAATTTGATATCTTTCCCCCCAAATCTGTCAAAAGCTTCTGTCAATTCTTTTTGTCCATATGTGGATGCAGAAAGAAGGAGAAGACCCTGGGAATGAGGGAACATGTGGGGGTGGAGGTATAGGATCCAGTTCACTTGAAAAGTGCAGGATCAACCCAAAGGATGTTTATCAACTCAGTTTTAATATTTTTATATTGAGGGTTATAGGAAATTTAAAATGAACAACGTGTTATGTATGACGTTTCAAAACATTGCTTTGACAATGCCCTGCCCCCAGGCTGACCTGTTTTGGCAAATGCCCTACCCTTGGAAAAGTTTGAAAAAGCCAGACATATGGGGGGGGGGGACACTTTGAATTGACAGAGCCATAATTGATTATTTTACTTGTCCATTGTACAGGTGTAGGGAGTAAGAATGTACAGTCCAAAGCAACAGGAATCTCTCATAATGATTCACTACCAATGGATACAGCCCTTCTTTATGTCAAAGTCTCAGACACAATTGACATGAAAAACACAGCATATGTACTACTTGGTATCTCTAGCAACTGCCACAAGGTAAATTCTTTGCCTGAAAGTAAAAGCTGTCTGTGTTAGCAGATTCTGTCAGAATAAAATTCTAAAAGGCATTTTGCAAAACAATGCATGTAGTTGTATCGATCTCTCAAGTCTCACGGTTTTGCCGTGAGACGCACGGTTTTGAGGACAATCTCATGGTCTCACAATGCATTACAGAAACGCGCCCATTCAAAAACGTTGATCATGAAAATGCAAATAAGTGAAAAATGACGTTAATTTAGTGTCAGTCAAGAAATCCCCTGGGTATATCCCTTTCCTGGTTATTATTCCTGCTCAGACATCCGCAACATTTGCCTATTCTTCGATGAAGAATAGAACTTTACGCAACTAACAATAGCTCAGTCTGTTTAAAAACTGTCTAAATTTACTCCGAATTACTATGTGACTTTTTGCTGTTAACTGTTAACTAATTTTGCCATCAAAACGATTCGCACGAGACTACCGAATTCGCAAGGGTTTTATGTTAGTGCACGAGGAAGAAAAATTCTTCTCTTTGCATAAACTTGAAGCACTGACAAAGACATTCCAACACTGGGCTGATGTCTGCATTGATCTTCCTACTCATGTCAGCCAGCTGTTTACGTACTACGTTTGCTGAAAACGTAGTACGTAAACAGCTGGCTGACCTGAGTAGGAAGATCAACGCAGACATCAGCTCAGTTTACACAAGTAGGAAGATCAAAGATGAAATTAAGGTCAAGGAAGACAAGCCGCCTCTTGTGAGTCAACAATGCGTGGGGTATTCTTTCCAGTGTAGCCTGTGTGATGCAGGCTATGTCGGCTACACGTGCCGACACCTACACCAATGAATTGAAGAACACAAAGGATCGGCAATCGGAAACCACCTCAGAGAGCAGCATGATATGGAGCCTGAAGACATCGCACAAAGTTTTAGAATCTTAAGAAAGTGTCAGAACAAATTTGACTGTCTTATTTTTGAAATGTTTTTTATCCAAGAACTGAAACCGACGCTTAACAAACAGTGCGATTCAATTCGCACCAAATCATTTGTTTAGAGTAGTTCTTGTTAACATTGTTTTATTTCCATTGTTTTTTTACTTTATAAATATTTTTAGCACTTTTTACATTTTTACATATTTTATCACATTTTAGCGTTCACCACATTTTTATCTATTATAACTTGTTTTTAACTTATTTACGCTAATTTAGAGAACTTTTATACACTTGAAAATGACCTCGGAGAGGTCGTAACGTCATGTTTTTTAATCGCTAATATTTATCTCAAAATCGATTTCTAAGAAACTACTGATTAAAATTGATTTTCAGGTATCAATTCTGTAAAAATCCACATTTCTAAGGCATATATTCCATATTTGATCATCTTGTTGACAAGATATGGACCTCAAAACCATATTTAGAAGGCAAATTCCAAATAAGGTTATCGTTACCAGTTTGTTGCATCTGCTACGTTTTGTCCACGTTGTTAAAATGGCGGGAAACGATGAATATTCATTGGCAAAGATAAAGTTGAAAGCAGAATGGGGGTTCGTATCCTGTCAAACGGATTCTTAGCGCTCCATTTTCATTTTATGACTTCTATATGTGACTGTGTTCCCTACACCTGGTTTTAGTTTTTTCTGATGCCGTCAATAAACCTCCAGGTTTTTCCTCAAATCTACAGGTTTTTTTACCTTGATCTCAAGGGTTTTGTTCTTGGGGCTGAGAGGTCTGTATATAGCTGAGAAGTACTGGGACTTACCATGCCTGATCAGGGTTTATTCTAGAAATTAGCCAATGAGGGTCAAATGGGCCCCCTTCAGTAATTTTAGGGGACCCTTTTTCAAGAAATTGGGGCAAGAAAGGGGATCCCCCAAAAGGTATTTGAACTTATTGGTACAGACTGTTCCATGAGAAAACTCGTGAACATTTATTGAAAATATTATTTACAGATTTGCAAGTACTGAACATGAGGTTAAAACGACTCTATAACGCTTTAATGTAAATGAAAAGCTTCTTTGCTACATATTATTCTGTATACTTTCATCCAACATTAGGATGGATAATTTTGTTTTTTTTAGGCCACAAGTTTTAGAGAAAAAAGTCTCTGTGACTCGTCATTCAGATCGTGGCTTTTCTACGCTGCAGTTCTTTTTTGTTTATTTGGCACCAAATCCAAAAAAACTGAGTGCTTTTTGAGACTTTTGACATTCTATATGGGTCGGACTCTCCAGATGCTTTGCCACCATTTTGGAACATTCTGGGCAACTGAAAACGCCTGGGCTCGAATTACTGCAGAATCCTGGATGTTTGTCTGGTGAGACAAAAAAAGAAAGGCAATAATTGAGACAATAAGAAGCTATAAAAGTTCAAAGTTAGCTTATGGAGTGGCTGTTAAATCAGTGTTGTTGTCAGTGATGTTTTCGAATACTTTATATTTCAAGAAAAAATGATAGAACCTATCCTTGGGTCTATTTTTTACGCCCCATATTTGACATATGGCAACCTAAATTTTAAGCGGCATTTTTTTCCAAATTGGGAAAATCTTGCAAGGGCGCACTCAAGAATAAACCCTGCCTGACACCAGCTTATTATTCTGTAGTTAGTATCTTTTTTCTCATTATAAGGTCGATTATGATAATTATTGTTTCAAGATCAGCATTCAGGAAACAATGTAGGAGTACTACATGAATGTGGATGTCCACATTTTAACTGCTGAATGGAATTTTAATTGTGATAGTGGGAATATATATTGCATGAGACATAAAAAAGCATGAATTGTATAAACTGTAATTTAATGCATTTGTTTGTGCTGTAAAAATTATTGCTTTTTTTCTTTATTATTTAGTGTCCCCTTCAGGTTTTGAAAAGTGGCATAAGAAGCTCTTTAGAGTTTAACACAACAGTGGAAACAAACTATCCTTTTAAACTTGCTCTCAATGATTCTCGTGGGAGAATGGTGTGCAGGTAAGGTTATTCAAACATTACAAATTATATTAATTAATAGTAGCAATTTTAAAATGATCCTATGCTCTTGTTCATGTATATAGATGTAACCCTGAAGGTGAAAGTTCAAAATTAAAATATGTAATGCTACAATAATTGTACTAGCAGCATGAAAAGGTACTCTGCTGCAGTAGAAGCTGCTGGTCTTGTGACTTTGTTCAGAGGAATTTATAAAGGAGTCTTCTTTGAGTGTACTATAATATGTAAATGAAGAAAACTGCTGGTAGTGGTCATAGGGATTGCTGGTGAATTATATAGAGGCCCTGCCAGGAGAGGGTGGGGGGGGGGGTTCCCATTTCGCCTGTCTGAATTTTAAAACGTCTCGTGTCGGTGTTTATAAATGCTTGTCACTCATTGTCGGCTTTGCCATCACTGTCACAATTTGTCTGAGGCAGGTTGTCTATTGTCGAGATTTTATTTTACTTGCTGTTGCTACTTTTTGGGCCAAGTCGCTTGTCGGAATTTACCTTTGCAGGGCCTCTCTCTATATATATACTTCAGTTATCAGGAATCAGGATCAGAAACCAGTAGCACATCTGCTATGCCTTAATCCTGTTACCTGAAATAATTAATTCTTTTGTTATGCCTTCTGGTATAACAGGCCTTGTGTAGAAAATACTAGACTGTTTATTTCAGTTAGTTAGGTCCAGAGCCCTAACGATCGAGGGCACTGTGTGCTGCACTCGCCATCCCACCTAGGGAGGTTACAGACTTTGTAATACCCAATCATAACATCAATTTTATTTCGGTTTAAATTTACTCCTTTCAGTTGACTCTATTTTAAGACCAAAATTTTTCTTACATAGACACACACAGAAGGTGTCTGTCTTACAAAAGTTGACTATCTGTTGGATTAACCTTACTCTTGGATGTTTTTTTGGGCTTTCTGGGACCACCATCATGGGGGAGCAGCTTAAATTTGTGGTGGGCCTGAAAAGCTCCCCCCAGTCCCCAGTCTGAATACAATGTAGGATAAAGAAGTTCTGTACTGTATTATTTTAAGACACGTCTTAATAGAGAGGAGAAGTCTTTGTATCACGTTCCCATGGTAGCAAAATTTTTGTATGACAACAAATAAAAACGTCACTTAAACAGTGGATTCGCACTGTTTCAGACTTCATCGATCATTTAATTTTTTTTTAATTGTCAAATGTTGGCGAAATTTTCTGAGTTGAATCTGATCATGAACGCGTATCTAAGTTTAGAAAAAGAAAAAGAAAATATTCCATGTCAATGATGCCAAAACGCGGCCTACATTGAACACTGTTTACATAAGTTTTGTTGTACTAACTGTTGTCCCACGGGTAGAAGATCAGTCTAAACTGCACTTAATCAAATCGATTAGGAAATTGTATTATTCTCTGTGTCTCTCTTTAAAACTGGTCGTTCTTTTGTTACATATTGCAGCCCTAAACCTCACAAATTTGGAGAGCATGGTACATACACATACAAGATCCATTCTGTAGGCAGAAACACAAACTGTGTTTTTATTACAGACAAGAAACCAGATAATCCTTTCTTACGTGAGTAAATACATCTGGGTGTGCTCAAGGAGCTTTTTTTTTCTTAGTTCGAATAATATGTTGTGTTTAGCAAAAATTCATTTCAACTCTCATACAAACTCTGTATTTTCACATTTCGGTATAAGCAGATCTTCCCAAAAGCATTCTTTAGTGGCCACATTTAAGAACCATTCTCATACAAATGTAAGTGTCCAGCTCTATGGACACCTTTTTCACTTACTGGACATGTCAGCTTACAAGAGCTTATAATTATAATCCACTGTAATGGTAGCCATAAGTGAAAGGAGTGCATCATAGTTTTCAAACTATTTAGTTATCATTGAACCCAGTAACATATACTATATATGGTGATTTATTTACTGGAGAGTCACCATTTGAAGGCACAAAGATTCGCCTTCTTGTTACCGTCTACACTTTATATAAGCGTCTCTTAATCCAAAACTTTGTAGCTAACTTGATTGCAAAATTAATACAGTGTACATGTAGATCATGCAGGCCGTGGTGGTGTTCTGACTTCACAAGTACACATATTGTTTTATAATATTGACAAATATTATTCACATGTAACTGGAAAATTTATATCGAGTCACTAGGCTGAATTTAATGTGGTTTTGACTTGATTGCTGTCTTCTTTTCACTGGCCCTAGTGATTTATACCACTTACATATGTATTAACCGAGAGTGAGGTAATATTTTAGGGAAATCTCAGGCCAAGCAATAGCGAGGTCAATACCGAGGTCTGAGATTTCCCTGTAATGACTGAATGGACAATTAAGGTCAATAATTTATTTATTATATGGCCTCTTCATTATGGACCTACATCTGTAAGCTTTAATTGCGATCAATGAAAACCAATAACTGGTCAGCAGATAACTTTCAACCTGAATGAGTTATGCACTTGAACCCGTTATACAGTCATGTAACACTAGTCAGCACATACCCTTTTTGACAGCTGTCAATGGACCATAACATGGATGTCTATAAGGATGTCCACTATCAAGTTAAACACATATTGCATATGCCTTGGACACCTGGGTGGTAATGCCCAGTCATTACAATCATAGCGCACTTAAGTTATTGTAGCCACATAGTGAACATAAATAATCGAAGTGGCATCAAGTCAACATAAAGGGGATATACACTGTAAATAGCTTGTACTTGTAGCTCCCACGGAACTTAGCTTGATGGTAGAGCATTTGCAGGGTTAATAACCAGAAGCTGGTCAAACTGGTTTGACTCCTTTTGGGATGACTTGGATTTTTTCTTCAAAGCGTTCTGTGTCATATCAGGCTCAAAAAAATTCCCCATCACATTTCCCATGGCCTAGTTGCTTTAATGTCGATTAACTAATTTCTGCTTTTTCAATGTTTAGCCTTACTGTATGCTTTCCTTGTTATTTTTGGAGTTGCCATTGTTTGGACAGTATCGTTTTGTATTTTCAGGTGAGGGTTATATCATCAAAAAAAAACCTGCATGTTACTCATACATGTATTTATTAGTTGTAAGTTGTAAAATTTAAATTCTGAGTAAAGCACAATCTTAGCTGAGAAAATGTACATGTGATTGAACTTCAGTATGGCTGCAATGATCCTGAAGGAAGTTATGTGTAGTAGTATTTTTTTTCTCAGTTTGTAACTTATTTTATGGTATCCTCATTGCCAAAGCTGTACATATATGCCCTTTACATACAATACAGCTGTAACACTGTCATTTACTTTTAATATGTCACTCAGATCACCTTAATTACAATATGTTAATGTAGCTTTAACATGTGTAACTGAGTAGCTTTTACCTGGTACCAATTATATTTACATAACTGTACTTTTAAGTTATATTTTCCCTTTGTGTACCCGCTCTCATTAATTTTATTTGTCTTTTTTGTTTTGTTTTGTTTTTTATGTTCTTGTTCGTTTGTTTGTTTGTTTTTTTTGCTTTAGGAAATACAATCTCTTCATTAACTGGAGACTATTTCAGGACACAGAAAGTCTTATAAATGCTGTAAGTAAGGATGTCAAGAGCTGTTAAACGTAATACCTTATGTAATAATAATAATAATAATAATAACAATAATAATAGTAATAACAACAATAGTAATGATAATAATAATTATTATGGCTGAGAAATGAAGAATTATGAGAGGGGTGAAGAAAGTTATTGCAGCTGTTGTCGTGTTCCTTTTACATAGCTGTAGTTGTTATTCATTCAAAATATTTCTCCGTTTCTGATCCCCCGGCTAATTCTTCATACTATCTGGCCCAGTCCGTATTTGGGACTGAGATGCAAGCAATATACTATTGATTCGATGATATAAATAATTATTATTGTAATAGCGGAGCTCCACCCGCGCGCGAAGCGCGCGTGTGGACGGAGCTCCATAGCTAAGGAAATGTGGTAATCTACCCATCCGAGAAAATTTGGTAATCACGTGACCGTACGCCCGACCGTCCGTCCGCACCACAGGGAAACCAATGTTTTCTCTCACACTTTCTAGCTACTTTGGGAGCCCAATAGAAAACTAATTGCACATCAATGTTGTGATCAATTGACAGCTGTCAAAACAGGATATCCGCTGACCAGTGTCACCTGACCGTACCGCAGGCTCAAGTGTCGACCCATCGAGGTCGAGTACTTTTTTGAAGTTATCCGCTGACAAATTACCAGTTTCAAATGATCGCAGGCTCAAGTCTATTTTTTCCAATGATTCAAATGAAATATGTTGTGTTTATGTCACTATGGCCCCGCACTGTCAAGATTTTGATTTCAAACTGACCTCGGACGCGAAAATTCAGCCACCTTTTTAAAAATAAAGGCGGGGAAGACCTTTTCTTCCCATGGTCACGCGTTGGTCACGCTCTACGTCCAATTTTTGTACTCTGATTGGTCAAAATTTGACAGGTGAGTTCATGCGGAAAATTTATGCAGCATCTTGAAAGTTGTTTACTTTGACAGCTAAAGCTGACAGAGTTTTGTGTCAACTTGTGATGTTTTTAACTGTCTTTTTCCACTGGATGTACAAAATGAAATACAGCTGCTATCAAGAGTCTTCTGTTATCCATGGCTGGTTTGTTTATTGGGTTTTTGGTTGAGAAATGCGTCGCTTGTCAAAATTGGGTAATCCGATTTCGGATGGCATCTTTTTCGTCTTTCACCTTGCTCAATGCGTAAGAGGGTTTAAAAGTCTCAAGCAACTATGGCCTTCCTTGATATCTTTCAGGAACTGAATCTCGAATGGTAAGCCTGAGTAATTATTGTATTTGATGTTTGTTTTTGTTATATCTAATTTAATGAAGTCGAGCTCAGTTCATGCGGCAAGTTTTTGCACGTTTGTTAAGATTTGAGTCAATGATCTGATCTAGTATCAGGTTTGATATAAGCTTACAGAACTTTAAAAGGCCTTCAGATTTTTTTTCACGGCAAATAGAAAACAAAAGCGTTCCGAAGAATATTTAGTTATAAATTTGGCTGTAGAAAGAAAACTTTGAGTGATTTTCTTGCTTCGAGGAGTTCATCTTTGAAAAAAAAAACAAACAAACACCGGGAGGCCGGCTGAAAGTAAAACAAAATAAACTTAAGCTTAAGCTTTAAGCTTAAAGACTCAGGATTTTTAGAGACACTTTAATACTTGTCTTCGTGAATGAAAATTGTTGTCTCTGTAAATGTTTTACCGAATTAAATTTCTTTTATTGATTGTTAGTAGTCTCTCTTGCAATTTTAATCGCTTGTCCGTGGTGTTTGTTTTCATCGTTCATGAACATCGCTTGCAGGAGTACTTGGAAATGTCGCGCGTATCAAACGCTTTATAAGATTAAGCTAAGATTACACATCGTTATAACTGGAACCATTAAGGGACGGACCATTAGAAAAGTTATGGGGGGGGAGGGGAATTTTCGAGCCGCAGGAATTTTTTTTCGTTCTCAAATTCCTTGTATGAATTTTTTTTAGCCCATAGCATGAATATTTTTTAGGGTTAATTGGCATGCACGAATTTTTTTTCATTTCATTTTCCCTTGCGCGAATATTTTTTTTGTACTTCGCCCGCCCCCCCCATAAGTTTTCTAATGGTCCGTCCCTAAATAACAAAAAGTAATGATAATAAATTCGTTATTATGTTGAAGCGTATTTCCGGCGCGATCCATTAAAGTTCATTCAAACACTCGACCACACTGACAGCTCGCACTAAAAATGAGAACCGGCTGGCCGTATGGGTGATTTTGGAAATTTTTTGAACGGTTTCGCTAAAAGCCCACGATTGATCGTCATGGACATTGAAAAATTGTGAAATGCCGTATTCTGTGCGAGGTCTGTATGATAAAAAGTACTGTTTCACCTCAGATGTGATGTATAAAAAGTATAAAAGGTTGGTTTACACACCCTCAGATTTGTTGGCAAGGATTTGTAAAGTAAACCTGTCGAACGCAAAAAAATGCAGCCTGATTTGTTTTCCAAGAATTTGTTTTCGAGGCCTAATCTACTGTGATCAAGAGCCATTATGGCTCTTGAATGTGATAGAAGATGTTTGCTATTTTTTGGGTGTACATATATTTAGGCTATCAACTCGATGTAAGATGTTTCATTCTAAAATAACTTATCCTTTCCCTCAAAAGTCACATGAATGTGCCCTTAAGTTAACTGATTTGTGGATTACAAGTTTATTGTTTGATTTAAAATGTAAATTTATTAATGGGAGCTTCGCTTTTAGCCCTGGCTAAATCTATATATTATAACATTGATCAAGCTCGTTTCCAGGCGTGGCAGACTAGCTGTTTATTCCCGAATGAGCAAAAAAGAAATGGCATTTACGGCTATCCACAGATGAAAATAGCTGAAATTTTGACTAAAATTAACCCAACGGAAGAAATGCAAGTACGTATAAAAACGTATGAATGGACCGTGCGGATATAGGCCAAAGTGTTAATGAACGTCTACGAGAAGGTGAGCTTGTTAAGAACTTGAAAATATTTTTGAATGAATGAAGAAAATAATTATTGAATTCCGCTTTCGTATGATGTGAAGAATTATGCAGATCACAGAGGATCGGATTATCCAGGCTGAAATCCACCTCGCCTCTGCCTTCACTGCTTCAGTGGATAACATCTTCCGCGATCTGCATAATAATTCTTCACGTCCTACTCAGCCTCATTCATTAATTGTTAATTAATTTATTTTTTCAGGATCTTGGCAGCCCAAATTTCATTGGGTCTGTCGATGGTCGCCCTCCTCGTGATCGAGAAGAGATGCAGGTGAGTAGGGCTATGGCAAGTTTTTTGCTCGTTTTTTTAGTTGTATTTTGATCAGACAGGTACTATTCAGGTTTACTTCAATTTAAGACTTCTGATTTGTAAGTACATATAGAAGGAACATCAGGCAATTGAAGTTTCAGTTGTGTTTGATTGCTCAAGGTAGTCTGGAGGTTGAAAAACTGGAGATGGGCATTTGTGATCGAGCATGGGTATGCCGGGAATTCACCTCAGTTTTGTCTAATACAGTTATACAATGATAATTAAGTCTACACGAGTTCTTTTGTTACCACTGATTTGTAGTAGTCTTTTAACTACATGTATCTGAACGTAGATCATATTTAACTAGGCAAAGCTTGTTTAGTTTTTCACTTATTATTTATTCAAATATTTCGCCGTGTCTGATTGGCTCGAATCCCCCGGCTAATTCAGACTTTTTACAATCAATTCGATGATATATTCTGTCGGAAACGTTCAGGATTATCCGAAAAGGGAAAAGCCGAATTACTGACTACAACTGAGCCGAACAAAGGCAAGAACTTACAAAAAATGCTGCTTGATGAATGGCATCTACTTTTTGAGACTGTGCCAAATAAACAGACGAATGGTTTTGAAGGAAAAGGATGTTAAGAACTTAAAAATGTTTTAAATGAGTAATAAAACAATTATTGAATTCGCCTTTCATATAATGTGAAGAATTATGCAATTCTCTGAGGTTGTTATCCACTTTACTTTCCTCGATCCGCATAATTCTTTATATCATGCTTAGCCTCATTCAATAATTTGTGATTATTTTACAGCCAGAACAGCCAAAAAAGCAGAGACTCAAGTCACTGGATACATTTCGTGGGTGAGTAAGGGGGTAATTACATGAGACCGGGACGAACTCAGACCGGTATGAGTTCATATCGGTCTCCATACATTTCTTTTCATGCGTTTACATGGCACCGGCCTAAAAATGAACTCAGACCGCCCTGAATTCGTGTCGGTCGCTAACCCGACACGAGTTACTTTCGTACCGGTCTGAGACTGTACCGTTCTCATGTAAAACGGAAACAAATCTCAGACCGGGTCCATAAACGGCATGTTTCTTCGTATGGCTCGATCATTTTTGCTCTTTCTCATAAGAAATAAGAACACTGCTATGAATAACTTTAAACAAGACTTGGAAGTAGCTTCAATTGAATATATGCTTCGGTTAATGTGACGGAATGCACCGTTTTGAGATGTTGTGCCTTAACACGCCACCAGATGAGCGTTAGATAAAGTTTACAATTTTCTGGGAGTAGTAAAATCTACGGTTCTCTACTCACTGTCTTAATTGGCGTAAATTGTGTACCAGTTAGGACAGTTAGCGAATAATATGTTAAATAATCGACTTAAGAGAGTTATATAGCTCAAAGAATCTCCTGTTTTTGAGTTTGTATCGGTCTCATAGTGATAATGATAATACTGAGACAAATTACCATGTTTTATTTCTTGTTTGTAGAATTGCTTTGACAATAATGATATTTGTGAATTATGATGGTGGTGGATATTACTTTTTCAAGCATGCCAGATGGAACGGTGAGGGTTTTCTTTTTTTCCCGAACAATCAATCTCCATATTTTCCCTCACATATACATTGAGAATGTTTTGTTTTTGTTTTCTTACAGGACTTACAGTAGCAGACCTTGTTTTTCCCTGGTATGACTTTTAGCAACAATATTATCTTTATTTTATAAATAATGGCAACAAGATCTGGTTCACTAAAAACTTCTTGTACACCTAGCACTGTGCAAGTTGAGTGCCTCATTTTAAGCCGGTTTGAGCCAAGCATTCATGTTCATGCGATTGAGTGTTGTATTGCAAGGAGACAACTATGCACATTACGTCTCCTGGTTGGAGGCAATCATAAATGTAAAAAAAAACTTTTATTGCGCTTATACAATAGAAATATTTTCATATGCGCATAATCATCAGTATGCACCAGTGTGAACACATACTTGACTGTCCTTAAGACCGATAAGCTACCTCAAGAGCCGACTACGTGATGAGTTTTACTGCATACTAAGGATTTAGCCCGCCTGTCTAAACAAATCTTACTGGATGGACCTGAATTTTCGACCTGGTTAAATGTGCTGAAAAAGATTAATTAACAACAACAACAAGCTTCATTTGGAGGTCCATACGAGTCCATATATTTTAAGAATAAGATCTAAAATTTAATCACTGGACAATTAAAGTACTTTGTCCTGAGTTGGTCTGATCCATGGATGTTATTGATTTTCTAGGTTCATGTGGATTATGGGTGTTTCAATAGTGATTTCTTTTCGATCACTAAGAAAACGTCAAGTGAGACCGATGAGAATATTCCTCAAGATTATTCGTCGCACCTTAATACTATTTGGACTGGGTCTCTTAGTAAGCAATTGTAAGTCAGCAACGCCATTTATTTCAACCTGCGTCTTGGTTATGTTCCATCATAGTTGTGTTATGGGGTTTGCGCCGTTATTGAATCAATCTTCTAGCTGAGCAATAGACCTCTTTGGCTTGTATGTTGTTGTTTTTTTCCAGTGAAGATCTGCACTCTCGGGGGAATTTGCCCCTTTGTCTTTTCATAAATTATACGTGCATATCCACGAGAATAATCCAAAGTTTGAATGAAACAGTTTTCTAGTTAAATTGGTTAGAGTGCGGCACCGGTATCGCAGAGGTGCAGAGTTGGACAAACAGACGATCTTTCCATGCGACGAACTTAACAAATATAAATTAAAAATTTATGGGATAATGTATATTTAGCCTCATTCGGAGAAAATTTATTACTAGCCTGCTAAAATTTATTTTTGGTCTTATTCAATTGATTGTATCGACACGTCCCAAGTTCGAAATCTGTTGCGTCCCAATTTAACGTTTGGTTTGTTCTCGTTTGGCTTAGGCCTCAGTATCCCACACGTACCCCAATTGCTCCTTCCGCACCGTTTGAAGAACTTTTAAGAAAACCTTTCTCAGTTTGATTGTTTTACCAACTCTCACCAAGAATATATCGGGTAAATTGCGAAAAAAAAAAGAAAATAGCGCACTACACAGCTGCTCTGATTTTTTCTTTTAATCTATTTTTCCAGTGGCAGACTTGGAATACTACAGGGTACCAGGAGTCCTTCAGAGATTCGCAGCCTGTTATTTTATCATTTCTATGTTGCAGTTAATCATTAACCCTGGCGCAGACGCTGTTTTGGTAAATACATGCAGCAAGTGTAGTCGAATGTATAGATTACTGTATAGTTAACAGCGAAATTTTCCTGTTTTGGAATCGAATATCGGGTCCGAATATTTCCCTTTTCCTCTACGGTGGAAGAAACGGTTGACCTGAAAGACTAGCCTTTCAACGTGATACTGAAAGCAAACGAAGTTAGTTTATTCTGTAGCTGGTTTTGTAAAATCGTGTCTTTCCTCTAATCTACTTTCCAGGCGTGGCCTGGGCTCCATGTAAGCCGCAGGCTACCCCGTCACAATCTTTTTCTGTATAGTTTTCAGTATATACAACCTGCAACCTGACAAAAACAAATAAATTAATCTAATGAAATAGCTAGAAAAAAAAGGAATAAAATTGAATTGAGGAGAAAATTCGAGGAGATAATTAAATGTCAGCAACGTGGTAACTATTCTTTTCTCTTCTTCGTTCGGTTTCAAAATTCAAAAACATGGCAACCAAGAGAAGGGGGAAGGAAATAAATAAGCATTAACGTAGATTTTTGTAACGTCAACAGCCTGTGCCAACTGCGTGGTGGAACCCCATCAGAGATGTGATTGCATTGTGGGCTCAGTGGCTAGTCATGCTGGGTATACTTGTTATTTACCTCGTGATTACATTTGCAATTAAACCTTCTGGCTGTCCACGGTAAGTATACATCATTACACCTTAATGGCTTGTATGATAATGGTTGCTTTTGTATTGCCCCATAAATTACTTGATACGAAACTAATCAACTCAAAGGGGTTTCAGTTCGCCGTAAGATCTACATTGGTGCAACAAAATCGTCCAGTTAATAAGGCCTATTTAATGGGATATCTTTGTAGTAATTGGATTTGAAGTGTATAAAAAATCTTATACAATAATTTTGAATGGGCAGTTTCTTTACAAACTTACACCTTCATTCATTTTATTGTATTTTTGGGCTTGACTGACTGAATAACCCCATCCCCTGCCTTAATCTTTAGGGTACTGGTAATAAAACCAAGACAAAACCAATTGGTAATAAAATTAATGTTGACTCTGGTCCTAAACAGGTATCATGCGAGCGACCGTTGCTTCTTTGATCGAGCCGCTGTCCAGCGCCATTGACGAGTAAATTAACTTTTAACTGGTAAAACCTGTTTAGAAACAAGTTAAGGCTCTCGCGCATTTACTTACGCTTTTTTGACGTTCTCGTTGCCGCTGCGTCGTTGGATCTTAAAGTTTTTGCGAAACAACAGGGAAAGATGTCATTTGAAGTTGTCATGTAAGTTGTCATGTGGACGCGCATGGAAACGCAAACGGTTGCTTGCAGTGGTTTTTCTCGCTTCGTAGCGTAGCGTCCTTGGGCCTGGAGAATCCACTTTTGTCAAGGTAGTTATCCCAAGGGTCAGCTTCGTTGCCTCCTTGTTTTTCATTTGTATAATGTTAAATTTGCTTCGTTTCTTGTAGTGGGTACATTGGCCCTGGAGGCCTCGCTGATATTGAAGCGTACGAAAACTGTACAGGAGGAATAGCTGGCTCCATTGACAGACATTTGTTTGGTTCAAAACACATTTACCAGCATCCGACCTGCATGGTATGTATCCAATTTAAGTCGTCCTTCAACTAAGCTAATATTAGGAACCTTACGAAGCTACGACGGCGACGGCAACGGGGACTTCAAGAAAACAGTAGGTTTAATGAGCAAAACATCAACTCTGCACGACCATCACGCATTTTTGGACATTTTCTTATCGTCCCTGCCCAACTGTGACGTGAAATGACCAAATTTTAAGGCGACTTGAGAACGGGAACGCAAGGCAATAAATTGAACCATCTTTGCAGTCTGAGCTCATGCGCGGTCCCCTCTCGTCAGCTCCGACCTAAATTCCCTTCTTTAAAGCCAGTAACTGGCCGACTTGGGATAATCGCCAAACGGTTTGAAAGGATGCCAAGTCTATTTTTAAGCGACGTTTTCATGGACGTCTCCGTCGAAGGATCGTAAGGTCCCTCAGTATTAGGGAGCTTAAGCAAACACGACGGCAAC